CGTGTTTACACTGTAAAAGCAGCGCTTAGTTCAGCACTTTTTCTACCCACGTTTTTCACTTGTTAAAACTCACGACATGTTTGGATATTTTACATTGAAAAGCGTTTTTGAATGTTTTAAATTCTGAACGCTATCTCACGGTACATGTTTAGCTTTGTATAATGCGCTTTAGCATTTAAACAGATTTCTAAAAGCATTTCAGTGCAATTATCTAAACATGTCGCGAGGGGACACACATTAAAAAGCGGGCGCAAAAACGTTTTCAGTGATATTTTTAAACTCACGGTTGAGCTCGGGAGCCTGTTCTTGATACGGGTTTCTTATTCTCAAGTTCGAACGCTCGAACGGTGGGAACACGACCCAAGAACACGTACACTGTTCACACTCCCATCACACACCACTTCCTCGTCAGGGTTTTGCAGGAACATACGGGAAAACTCGTGAGATTTTGATTGTAGCGAGAGGGCTTGCAAAGCCGCAGACAAGTGGAAGTTCTGCAAAATTGACATTAATAATTTTTCAGAGCACAGAAATGAATGTACCTTTGAAACAGAAAAGAATTCAGCCCAGTTACCTAAACATTAATCCCCGAAGAACGTTCCTAGGCTCTGCCAGTGCCGCGGCTTGCCACACACTTATACCAGCGATAACTGGTTGTACATTCCCAACCCGACCCACGAACAACAAATCGAGCTCAGTGTTCGCGAACATACGAGAACAAGCCGCCCAAACTCAGCATTCGTTACTTCATGGTCAGAACGGGATTGTAGCAATTTAAATTCAGTATTTAAAATGCCTTGTTTCTTGTTCTGTCTTCTAATTTTTATGACACTGACGAAGCAGGTCTATTTAGGCAGAGATTGCTGGGAAAATGAAAAAGACTCATTATTGATCAATTCATATTGATCAGTTATTTTTATTGACGTCCAAATATTGCCTTAACGCAAAAGTAGCATTTACGAAACCAGGAATTTTTTCGTACTGGCAAGCCGTCCTTTTATAATGTATATCATCCACAGTAGATTTTTTGTATTCAGTAACCTGCTACTGCTGAAATGTACTAAAAGTCAAATTAATGTCTTACTGCTTTTCTAATTACGATAAAGATAGTGTTCTGTGAGTTTCAGTGACGACAGGGAGGTCGACGAAAAGGCTGTATAACGTATCGTTTGGCAGTCGGGGTTCTTTCGAGGTTTTAGCCATGGACGGTTTGTATTGCTTGGCCTTTTATCTTCAAGCGAGATTTTCTCCAGAATGTAAGGCATTGTTAACTAGCCTTTAATGACAAACGTCCATGAATTCTCTGCAGTGTAGTCCTCGTGTTATTTCAAACATTTCCAATTAAATCTTTAATCTTAGTTTCCAACATTATCCCCTCCTGTACCGGTAAACATGTGGCATTCCTCACCTCAACTGACCATCACGGGGCCTCGTTTACGGAACCACACATCTCAGAATGGCCCTCCCGGTATATTACCCGTCCCGTTCGCACCTCAGCGCCACCACCAGCCCACCTTAATTACCCGCCCGTAAATATAGCCTTGACATTATCACCGTGGAAAAGACGCGGGCTATTTAGTTGGAAGGTTATGGCGCGGAATTAAATTGGCGCGTCTCAGCGGGCTGATCGCGGGAAATCACAGCCAGCAATCCCGCGCCAAGAACCTCGACAACGCTGCTGCCCCTCGTATAATAGCATCCCCAGAGCTTTAAGTTCTTGCGCATAAGTTGGGCTTTTGTCTTTGAACCAAGGCACAGCGCTTGGCGGCACGGGGAGTCAGACAGGGCTGTTTTGGCAACATTTCCAGTATAATGAAATTTCTCGAAGATCGGCTCGCCCCATGTGGCAATTGTTTCGCCCTACGACAGCATTCTTGACATCGCCGCCAGCCATGTCTCAAGGGGGCATTAAATCATATCCCCATCATCTCCCGCGCAATTTGTGTACTGCATTTAGCACGGCTCCGGAAAAAGTTGCAGTGCGGCCGAAGCTAGGCTATGTTGTTCTGCAGACATCACCGCGTGGCGCAGCCCTCGGTCCATCTATCGGGATATGTGGACGGCTTAACTGAATTATCCATCACTAGTTGAAGCCTGGAATGTCAGAGATACAGAGGGAAGCGCTGCCGATTACGCGACAAATTGTTGGTGTTGGACCCGCACTCTGCCGGACAGCTCTCCACGCCATCAATCAGAGCCCGCGCTGACTCCATAAACATTCAGTGCAAGTACTTCCCAGGTTGCGAGTCTGGAAATCGCGTTCAGTACAAACACGTCCGTATACTCACTCGCCGAAAAAAATTCGATTCCAGACCGTGTTGCCATGTAACAAGCCAACATGAATTTATCTCCACATTACTCAAATAGCAGCCATTTTGCTAGTAAACTTTCCACTACGCATAAACATGGAAGCTGCCATATTCTTCAAAGACTGATGCACACTAGAAGCCTTTATGACCGTTCCTTTTGCATCATAGGAACAAAAGCTGGCAGCTTATTTCTTCTCACTCTCGACCCCAGAGGGCGACAAACCAAACCCAGACATGCAGCGCATGCCTGCAGCAAACAGGTTCAGAAATACACGTAGGCCTACGCGGCATTGTGGTATGCTTAGGTATTACACTTAACTGTTATTCTGAAATATGGTAGACAGATTCTTTAGATGTTTAAACGATTTAGCCGTCGGCCTTTAAGTCATTTAAAGTACTCAGTGGAAAAGGATACCAGAACGAATCTTGACCTACAGGCGCAATAAATACTCAGATTTAAATGTCTTAGGGCCTATTCGACGAATTATTTCCAATTGTTAATCTGCAGAGGATCCTGCATGCGTTGCCATAATCGATGCCGGTTAATCGCTGGCAACTGAAAAACTGATAAATAAGCAGTTATTTACAACCTCACTGATATTAACTAGAAAGATAACAGAGTGTTTGTCATTTGGAACACATTCAAATTTTCAACAATGGGACGGAAAATTCTCAGATATTTTCTCCAGTGTTCATCGCTACCAGAGAAACATCACCAAGAAGCATTTGATCGGTTGCTGTATTTTTCTTAACATTAAGAGTTCATTTTTATCCATTTTCAATAGCAGTTCAAGAACTCCATAAAATTCTTTTCAATTTTGATTTATCTGTGTTCTTAAATTTGTATATACTGTCGCTTTAAGTTAAATATCCATTTCTTTACATGGTCTTCAGTTATAGTTGCCTTAAAATCTTATACGGATGCAGGACTGCACTAAAGAAATTTGTTGATTCAATTTTTATGGTACCATAAACACGGACATTTCTTGGCGGGTAATTTATGGCAAACAGCACTGGACGTGGTGTCCTTTCATTGGCGAGATATTACGTGGCCACAGCGGCTCGGTACCTCTCGCGACTGCCTCACTGTGCTTCTTATGTCACTGTGGAAATATCAATGGATTATCACAAATATACAACCGGAAAAGCTTGGAATACCCTTTTAAGCGGAAAGTCTCTCTGTGTGAGATTCCCCATAAGAGGCACAGCCCAGACCTTCACAATAAGAGCAGACCACGGGGAGAGGGGATTTTGGCATCAATACGAACTAAGACGCTATCTTGTCTTTCACTTGACGAAGACGTAAAGGAGATTACTTTTGTGATCTTTTTGTCGTATGGATTTCTTTCTGACGAAACATTTTTTTTAATTTTGCAGCAATCAGCTATTTTCATTAAGGTACAGAAATCTGTCTTGGCTAACGCATACAAAATGACACTGACGATTCAAAACACGAGTAATCTTTGATTTCAGTGTTACAAATGCCCAATTTGTATTTGTAATTTTTACGTATCGGAAATAAATGGCACAAGAGCCAACTGTGTGGAAAAATAGGGGTGCACAATTTTGTAACGGGATTCCTTTAAAAACAGTGCTAAAAGCAAACCTAAAATCCATAACAACAAACAGTGAACAAGGAAACGAGTAAACACAAAATGAATTAGAAGAAAACAAATAGACTGAAAAAGGCTCCATTACAATGACAGTTGGGAATCGCGAAAGGGCTTGTCGATAGCGTCTTTTCAACTCAATAAAAGACATGCTCTCCTGATTGTCACTTTGTCATCGGTTGGCAAAGGACACGAAGTATTGACTAACAGCGTTACTAAAAGAGAAGTCCTCAAATGTATCCCTTCACATGTTTTGTGTTTTGGGGATGAGTTCCACCCCACAGGCTTTCAAGAGTACGCGTGATACAGGGGCGCCCCGACAGACACGTCTGTGAAAAGATCATATAGTACCGTATGTCTTTGTATAATGATGGTATCGCGTTTGCTTTGAATCACGAAGATCGACTGGATGGTGGTGTTGCAAGGTGATCGGCCATGCACCCAACCTAAACTGTGCAACTGAAGTCCAGCGAGCCCGTTTATTTTTTCAACATTACACAGAGTGTTATGAGCAACTGTCACGACTTCTAGTTCTGTTGTGGAAACAAAAATCATGTTTTAGTGTAATTGTAGGGTCCACGTCGTCCACTAATGTAACACAGAATCACATGTTACATTATTCATGCAGTTTCATGAAAACAATTCTGACCGATAATTCTCAAATCATTTGTCTTACACAATCACAAAAATACAACCTCGAACTCCAGATAGGATATTTGAAAGCCGAGTAACAGTCTAAGGTTGAATGCTGACTTTGTCACTGCACCCACGCACCGGTTATAAGAGGAGTGTTTTGCATAAAATCAATCTGCATGTGATCGAAATTCACTCGGCTAACTGACCCGATTACACAATGCGGTGTGTTGCACAGTTGACTGTACGGTAATCAGTGCAGCTCTCTCAGAGCGCGGCGCGTCGTCGAACAGCTTCGACTGGGTTCGACACAAGATGATAACCATGAACGACACACCCTCGAAGTTGGGCTGTTACTTGTGGCCAATCGTGAGTCGGGAGGTGCGCACGTCATTGTCTTAACTACCGCCAGTCCCACGGGGGTTTCGCTCAGAACTGCTCAGAACGCCTGCCCTTGTGTGCATGTGCCGTGTGGGGCGGTGATGATATCCCATTCGAGCGCGCACCCTGCCGCCGTGCGCACGACACCGAAATCGACTGCGAAGCCTACAGTCATCTCGATGATCTCCTGCATATATCTGAACGCCCGGGAGAAGATTTGTTACGCTGTTCTTTAACGCACCGAGAGGAACAACATGTCACCTAAGCCACGCTGATTGCCGCTGTTGACCTACCCGGGACCTGTTTAATCTCTCTCCGTCGGAATTGGTGTGATCGCATCGGGTATGTCTTTTCATTTGGAGATTGCATGGTATACCAGTTGGGTAATGTTATGCGTAGACTAATCTGTCTCAATTGGAATGGTAATGAATCTAAACCTGGCTTGGAGCGTAACTGTCACGCTGTGCATGGGGTACCTCCATGGCACGTGTAAAACAATCTTGAAAACAAAAATACGATTTGAGTGACATTCGGAGCTAGGGCGGGTGTTTCAGAAGAGGATCGGCCCTTAAGAAGACATCTCGTGTTTGCCCTCGTGTGTGATTTTTATGTAAACATTACCATGAAGTTGAAGCAAAAACCTTGGGTATAAAAAAAGTGGTATACGATCTCATCTGATAAATCAAAGCCAGTACTGAAAGACTAAAACTAAGAAAAAAAGGAAAGGTTTTTGGTAATACATGATTTTTACACCTTAAACGTGTTGCCTAAGAAAGTAATTAAACTGTTATGACGTTACTTGTGTAGACGTTTTACCAGGCTTAAGTATGAACTCATACTTCATTTTAGCTTTACTTGGGCCTGAATAAACATTATCTCAAAATCCTGAGCAACAAAACCTTGATCTGGTTTGACACGCTTTGTATTATATAATACTATGTGCCGTGGGAAAAAAAGAAACACTGTGCCGTTTTCCAAAAGTTGGCTTCTTCTCCAGTCATGGCTTTTGAATAAAAAGGCTCCCAAATCAAACTTTGGTCTCGCCTTTATTAAAGTTAGTGACCTTAAATAGCGCAGCTGAAGACACAGTTGAGAGAGAGCCAAGGGCTGGACAGTCCCTTATTTACCAAACCAAACAACTTACAGTAGGCCTGATAAGGGTTTCGCAGCAGTCTCACAGAATCCTTACACCGAATAAAGACCGCGCGAGGTCGTCAACAAACGTCTGGCGGATGGCGATACAGAAACATTTGGTGACAACTGGATCTCATGAAATGAAAAGAAAAAAGAAGTCACGGTTAATTGGCTTCGCTCTTTAACAGGGACGCGAGTCATCGGTGATGCGCAAAATCAAGCGTCAATGGCGACGTGATCGATACCCAACAACACTAGATCAGTGTAGCAGCATTACGCCCAAATGGACAGTACCGGGGGGAACTTCTCGTAAACAATGCACGTATGAAGGTGTAAACCTCTGTGGATTGACCCACGATCAGGTACTATTTGCGTGATTTCGGGTACTTTGTGTTCATACACCTTTGTGCATTGCATCAGTGTGGTGTCGGCTCATCAAGAAAAACAGTTCACGACAAAATTGGAGTGTGCATAACTACACGACTGGCGTCACGCGCCGAAAAAGAGGGGACGCTGTTGCTTACAGCGGTCGATGTAGAGCTTTTGACGATAGTAACGATGCATTTTTTGAGACAAATTTCTCCCCAAAAGTTGCCATTTTTTCCCATATCGCAGGTAATGCTGTATTACCTGCTGTTGGTAACACATAGCACTTTCCGAATTTTATTTGGTCATTTTCGCGAGTACGTTTCGTTAGTATCCATTACATCGCAGGAGAGGAAAGTGCAAAGTCAACGAGCTGTTAATCTTAACCTTCACATTTAGAGCCATTAGGAATAAATCTACCTCTAACCCTAAGCGACCTTCCGGTGAGTGTCACGTGAAATGTAAACAAATACCCCATTTTTCACAGCATTTACCCAGTTCGAGGTACAAAAGGCGTATTTCGATTAAACAAACCTTGAAATAAGATGATATAGTGGTAATCATGCTCTTCTCAATGTCTATAATATTTGTGCATAGCAATATAGCTAGGCCAACACATAAAAACATATTTTGTGTAAATTACCTGTGTATATTATGAACTGAGTTATTATTTTCCAACAGTGTATTCGAGATTATTTTTGAAAGACCTATAGATTAAAGTAACTCGTACATATTGTTACAAATGGCCCTTACTGGCAGTAAATGGCTCAACGAAACAGCCATCTGATAGCGTTCGGATTCCAAGGGGGAGGGCGTGGGCGATCTGTGGATAACCGGGGAGGAACATTCAATCAAGTTGCGATTGTTTTCTTATTCTAGCAAAGAACATGACAGTCATTTACTTTGGTCATTGTGCTTGTCCCGAGTGTGGCCTCAGGGGACTGCACTGCAATTCCAACTTATTAAACGTTGAGTATTTGAAATCGATTTCTTCTCTTAAGAGAGGATTTACTTTTTTTGAACTTTTGGTCTTCTGTGATTTCTGTTCATGTGATGTGTGTATTCATTGATACAGTTTTCGAGCCTCATTTGGAACACTTTGGCTCTCGTGGGGTCATGCATTAACGAAAACAAATAAATGATTTTAGTCAGAAATAAACATTAACGGTCCCCACTACTCACGAGACATCTACTAACAAGCATTACAATCGTGACATCATTTATTATTTTTTTTAATGGAAGATAATTCGTTACCCTGACTTAAAGCCTCGTTGACGTTTGGCAAATGCTCAACGGCACCAGCGTCCTTCGAGCATCACCCCCTTACGCATGGAGTGCAGAATATCTTTCAATTAAAAAATGGAGTTACACCCGGGATGCATTATATCTTCCTGACATTTGGAGAGTGTGAAAATCCGGCTTTAAAGAACCGGAGCGCTGAAAACTCCACGCGTGCCTGATGATGATGATCGGAGCTAGCGGAGGGGTCGCTGGGGCTTGTCGAACATCGTGACTTAGTGAAAATCGGCCCCGGAGCCCGCTAATCCGGAACGTCGTTCAGATGGCCGTCCCGTAATGAATCGTGTACGCTGCGGCTCGGTCTTCCATGCTAATCGCCTGTTTGCCTGAGTGACCGGGGTTGGGACTGTCGTGAGATTCTCCTAGCTGGAATGGTCAATCAGCTTTTTTCTCCTCAGCAAAGATGATAATGATGTCTTCAAGACCAACCTCAAGAGTAAACAGACAACCCTGATGTTAAAATACTGTAAGGCCAGGAAGCCAAAATAGAACTGAAAATAATAACAGGCTGGTCCAATTAATGCCTACAGTTGCCACTGGCGCGCTTTAGGTATCACGAAATCATCCACGGTTTCATCTGGCGGCAATTCTCATTCAATCAATTGCAGTGTCCATCGAAATTCGCTTCCATTTTTAGTGCGTAACTAAGCGGCAAACGGCTCAACCAAAACATGCCTGGATCTATCCTCTATAAGTAAACAACTCATTATCGAAACAGAGGCTGCACTGGCAAGTTACACAGCAACCTTAAAATGTATTCTTACGCTATAGCTGTACCTATACGAAAATGACATAAATGTATGTTTTGCATACGATTCTTCACTTTTTGTTCCATGACAATTAACAGCAGATAGAATGCTGTAGCAACACGGTAGTTTATTTACTTTGTCTCTGCGTCTTCTATCAATATAGTACTTACAATCTAATGACTATTTTGTTTTGGCTTCAGATTTTTTAAATGGCTATATTTTTGTGATTTTGCACTTTTACTTGAATGTTCCATTTTTCTGATTTTAGTTGTAAATTGTCCATGCAGTTACTTATGGCTTAGCAGGGAACTCAAGCTGCAAGTGTAGGGGAACCTATTTGCAGACCAGTCAAGCACCGCAGTTGTGTTGGATTATAAGGAGAATCGAAAGGCTGTTAGAACGGATGGAGGGGTTAAACAAGGGAAAACATAATTGGTACTTACGAATGTTAGGTGTGCTTAGTAATGTTGCATCTACATTGAGTGTCGCCCAGGAGAGTCCTTAATTGGCTAGCTGCAAAGTGCAAGGAAAGTCAACGCACACTGCTAACAACCTTCAATTTCCTGAGGTTAGAAAACGAAGAATGTTTTTCGGAAGCAAGTGTTATTATGAAGTTTTAAGAATCACGGGGGATGGAATATTGGATTTACGCTATTCCGTGCAGTCTATCGGATTTTAACATTTCTCGTCTGTTTAAGAGTTGCTGTTTATACTCACGATCCCAGTAAACACCTAAATCATACGTGTGTGTATGAAGAAACAAAACGACCCTGTGACCCGAGGCTTCTTTTATTCGCATAGTTAACCGTTTTTTCTTTATAAAACCTCACGTCGATCATCAAAGTAAAAGCAGGTCGGAACCACTCACAGCAAGGTTGCCCGTAAACTTTAAACAGGTGAACTTTCTTTCTTCGAAAATACGATCACATTAAGCTATTTTCAAATACGTTGGTTTTACACAATATAACCTAGTGTCATCTGTTATCTGATTTGTTGCTTTGAATGAAATCTACAGTTTCCTATGTAATGTGCTGCCAATTTAAGAATATCAACATTTATATTGGATATCTAAGGTGTTAATATAACACCAGCATAAATATCTTGGTTTTGCAGTCTACACAAAATGCAGCGATGCAAATGAGAAGTAGCTGTTTCCCAAAGGTACAAACGTTCGCAGGATTACACGTATCCTCTGGCGGCATTACCTTGACGAAAACAATTGACTCGTACAGACTGACTTCTCTGCACCACGCTGTGTGAGAGACAAAGTGTTCAGACAAAAACGGTTAAAAAATGATCAGTCAGAGTAGAATGTTGTGATATTCTCCTGTTGATTCTCGATAAGTCGCATTAAAAAGGATTTAAAAGCATTAAAAACAAAACTATCAGGGTAGACAGTCTGTCTGTAGACAGAACATGATCTTGGTGTTTGTCTTCATAAAAGTATAAGAATCAAACTTGATAACCACGGCGTCTTAACACGCAGCGAGGAAGACACGGGGAGATGGCGGCCCGAGTCGGACCTAAATTACCGCGGATCACTGCAAGCTGCCCGAGTGTTTGGCCTATTATCTGCCGTGCTCGTGCCGGAATGCCGCCTGTTTATTTGGACCCGTCCTCCCGGTCTCAAGTCATCACTCACTCGCCTCTCGTCAAATAAAAATGATTTCCTTCGGTAAATTCGCCACGCGTGTGTACATAAGAGATACGCAGAATGTAACATTTTGCAAGGCCACACGTGTCGGCAGCGCATTGGAAGTGACGATATTAATCGGATGCAGTGTCACCACATGT